GTAATCTTAAATACAAATGTTCATTCAAATGCCGGCACACCTTCCTTTGAAATCTTTAAATTTTTAACTAAAAAATTTAAGTTTTCCTGCAACTTCACTTTTCGGTTTACCAAAACGATTTTGGACTTTTTTGATGTTATCCGGTAGCACCACCTCTTTCGGACAACAACTGTGTTCGGCATGATCAGTGTTTACACGTCCGCGTTTGAAGTCAGAGAACCACTTCTCTATAATTTTTTTTCAATGGAGCAGAGTTGTGGTAGCACATAACAAGCCAAATTTTTGCTGGTACAGTATTTTTTCGCCTCAGAAAATAATGATGAATCAAGACACATTCAAGAAAATATAAAAAATAGCGTCACTAAATCAGATATAACTAAATGAGTAATCGTTCAAATGTCATAAAATATATGTTTGTTCCGTTATAATTTAGTTATAATTCTTCCCAAGTCGCTTCGTTTTATAAATGGTGATTATTTCTCTCGTTTCTGACACCCTTTTTATGATAAGAAGCGAAACAAATCCAATCTTTTCATTTAATATTAATCTTATTATATAGATAGACTATTTCCACTTTATCTTTGTACTATACTGTGTGTGTTTATTCCATAACATTTCGGAAGTTTAAGATGTGATCTTATACTGAAATATCCCACTCTATGTTCGTACAACTGATGTAAAACAAAATTATATGATCGTGCTATCAACAATCGTATTGCTAATTAACAATAACTAGAGTTCTTAGTAATATTTCTGGAAAAACAGTTTTGTTTCACTATTGAATTTTTACTGAAAATATGACTTAGCTTAAAACTTTTTGTGTAATATTACTCAATATATAGTCACCCATATTTTAAAATATTCTAGGAAATGAATTTCTCTCAAAATGTATTTATCTCTAAAATTGAATTCCTCTATTCTGAATTGTTTGGATGGGGACAACTGTTTCCTTAAATGAAAAAATTTGAATTTTTTAATTGCAGTTTATAATGAATACTTTAAGTAATAAACTTATTTATTTTATTTTTTAAATATTTACACAATTTGTTTTTTTCTTAAATATAATAAATAAAGTAATTTTTTTTATTTATTAATGTAACGATATTGAAATTATTTATATATTTACTGAAGTTTGAGTTCTTCGATTTCCAAAAGTCGACGATTTATTCTAATTTCGTCCTCAATTTCGATTAACGATAGAACTGTTTTAGTTCTATCATGTTCTGGAAGCTTTTTCCGCAAAGCTTTTTAATAGAATGGTATATACCGATGCTTTCTTTATGATTATTTTTCAGCATTTGGATTAACTGCAGCAGTATTTGTAATTCCATTTTATTTGCATTTTTTTGCTATATGTAAATAACCTAATTAAATATATTCGAATAACTAATAAATATTGGTTACTTACATATTAAATTTAACTCTTTTTATTTAATTAATCTCCCACACAACTTGCTTGGAAATAGTTTTGTACGAAATAGCGAAAAAATCTCCCAATTTATTTCATAAGGGGAAAATGGGAGAAGAGAAAAGACCCCCCATTTCCATTATATTCAGAATAGGGGTAAGTAAGTTCATTATATTTTAATTTAGCAATAAAATATGCTAGTACTCGTAATATAGTTAATAGATCGAATCTGTTGATCATATACAAATCATAAAATAGTTAGGAAATTTCGATAGTCATAACAGTTGAAAAGCTGAAATGCTTTCGATGACATTAACAATTATTTTTTTTAAATGCTTTCGATGATATTAACAATTATTTTTTTAAATGCTTTCGATGATATATAAATTAATAACATTTTTTTATTTACATAATTTTGCTCTATGTACTACTGTTCATCCCCTTTAGCTAAATATTTATGATTTAAAAACTATCAATAGATTCTTTTAAATAATTATTAATTCAATTATTATTACTTTGTCTTCTCAAAGGCATATGGGAGTCTGTAAACTCAGATCCTCTTTCTCTTTACAAATCAACTATCTGAAACAAGTTCCTTTGTTAAAAACTTTACTACACACAGCTTCAAGCCAAGTTAGTTTATGAGATTCTAACTAGAAAATATATTTACGAGAACTCCATCCAGTTTTTTTTATTATAAACAGATTAAATTCAATCTTTCTAGAATTATTTTATTAGAAAAGCCTAAAAATATCTGAAGCACATTTATGTCAGTTGCTGATTTTATATCACTATCATTTCCATTCCGTAAAGATTTCGTCATTTCAAAATAACCTACACGAAACTAATCATGTCAACGGAGAATTATGTAAATAACAAGAACTGCATGATTTAATGATAGTTCTTCAATACTGAATAGTATCTCAATCAATCAATGATTGTATACCTAAAATACAGGATTCATCAGATAAATAAACTAAACTTTCGCAAATATTCTAGTTCTAACATTAAAAGAACTTACACTAAAAACGTATGTTATATACATTAAAAAATATAAGATTAGATTATTTAATTGAATTAAAACAGAAAATAGCAACTAACAGAAAAATATATAGCAAAATTGGAATACTTGCAAACAGCAATAGAATGTAATCAACCGGCAATTAACAGAATCTTGCTAAATAACAGAAAATTGTTATTTTTTATTTAAAAATAACGAAATATATTTTATGCTAATTACTAGTGTTTTGACTTTCGGTTTTTGGATAGTGTAAGATATATTAAATATACTAAATCTACTTTACTTATATGTGTGTGAAAAGCATATTCAAAAATACATATACAGGGTTGGCTATACTAGGTTAACCCATTTATTTCATAAAGAAAAACTCAACTTTTTGCTGTTTGGGTTTAAAATCATTTAACTTGGTGTTAGTAGATTTAATTACATTAGTTTTTGAATCTTCCTTAGCTTGCATCACGTTAGATGCTCAGTTTTTTTGACATATTGAATCATATTTCAATGTTTCGGTCGCTAAACAGCTATTTCCTAGCGCATGTTGGCCTTAAGTTCTTATAGCGACCTATATATATATAGCGACTTAATGTAACTCCAGAGGAAAGTCTTGCTGTGTCAAATCGGGCGAACACGGAGGCCAGTCTAAATCACCATTATTTTGATATAAAGCGAATGAGGAACAATCATAATCACCTAAAAAAAATCAATTGTGGGCCGAGCTGTATCAGATGATTGCGTCATCTTCTTGAAAACATTTTCACGAACAATCGCCATCAAAATATCATAATATACCTGATTGACGATTGTTGCTTTAAAAAGTACGCACCGGTGATCATATCTCCACAAAGTTCGCACCACACTGTAACTTTGTAAAGTGAAAGGGTTTTATGGCGTAATATCGTAAATTTTGTTTATTTACGTTTCCATTTAACATGATATATGCCTCATCACTCATAATCAGTGTTTGTTAAAAATCTTTCTGGGCTTTAGAGCGTTCGACAACCATTTTTGTAAGACTGACTTTTAAAGACGAAGTATCTTTAATCATTTTTCACCCCTTTGTTTTTTTGTCAAATTTATAGAGGGTCAACCTAATATAGACAGTGCTTTATATATTATTTATATATTTTGCATTCTAGTACTATCTTTGGATATATCTGAAAAATATGGAATACTGCAGTTCTTATTAGTTCTTACTGCTGTTCAGTAAATTATAAAGCAGAATCTAAGTTAAATATTTAATCTGCTGGCTAAGCCTGCTATTTATTTTCCATATTTAATATAATAAATTACTTATTCTCTTATTAAAATTACTATTTTTATGTAAATTTAGAACATAATATATGAATTTCTTTGGTTTAATTTATAAACAGCTGTTGATAAGCTAAAACATCGGAAAGATTCGTTTTTTGGGATATTTCTTTACTGTACGAAAAGATGGGTTCTCCCCTTATTAATATTCAAAAAAATGTATGCAGTTGTTTTAATATAAATATTTCTTTGTTTGTATATATGTAATTCACATAAGTAAATAATGCAAATATTATAAAGCAGTATTTTTCAACTCAAAACATATTTTGGATCAGTGAAATATTTAAAGTCTTTTACAAGAACCGGTAGCAACACTTTTCCTATAAAACATTGTTAAAGATGTAAATACAATATTTTACCGGTAATACTAGTTATGGTGTCGCTCGTTCCACAGCGCAGGGGTTAAGAAACTCTGATGTAAACTATCCATTAAAAGTAAATTATTGGCAATTAAAAATTTGTAAGATAATCTTTCATTTACAATTGTAACTTTTTGCGTGAGGTGATCCTTACTATATTCACTTAGTAATGAGAAATATTATTGCCTGAATTTATTCCTTTAGTAAATAATTTTTAGGTTTTAGGTCTTCCATGATGTATTTTATTATTATAGAATAAACTGAACTGTGTTTAACAAATTTCCAAAAATTATCGAGTAATTTTCAACTTTTTAAACATAATTTTTTATTTAGAAGAAGTTGTGAAATCTTGATATACTCTATATAATATACTGTAATAACTCTATATAGCTGTATTATCTTAACAAACTACTTTCTTTTATTATTATAAAAATATTGGTAAAATTGCTATCAAGCTTGGAGAAACACTTATTAGACCAAAACTGTCAAGTGTCTCATTAACAACATGAATATATATATTTTTTTTATCTTCTAACATTTACAAAACACATTCTTGCATATCAAACAATTCTAATTAAGTTTTAATTTTCTTCATAAAAAAATTTTTACAAACTATAGATAAAGACTTCATTATTTATTCTAAATTTTTAGTTTGATTAGGGAGGGAGCAACAACAGTGAACACAAATTTTTATCTCGCGAACTTGATTATCTATTAAAACAATTTATTCTACTAAGATTCATTCTCTTATTTCCCATTTATTTAGTCGAAAATGTTTAACGAAATCTTTAAATATTAACTATTAAGCGACTACGAAATATCGAAAAAACGACCAAAAAATAAAAATTGTGAAAGTAAAAATAAAATTTAAAAACTAAATAAAATTCAAATTTAAAACTTTTTTAACAATAAATGACTAAAAATTCAATACCAAGCACAAAATATAAAAACTGTTTCAATTTGATGCCAAAAACGATCTAAAAATTACTTAATAATTTATTTTAACGAATTTGCACTTAACTTGCACTTGCACCAAATATGATAAAATTAAAGTCATTGTTCCGTAGAGGACAAGGACCATCTGGTTCATCCAAACATTCCAATAATAATAGCAGCAATAATCGTAACAAATCACAATCGACAACATCACTAAATACGATAACTGATAACGAACAGCGTCAGCAGCAGCAGCAGCAGCAACAACAACAACACCAACTGCAACAACAGCAACAACGACAACAATCACAAACACCCACAGTAACAACGAAATTTTATCAAAAAGTTGATCCAGCCTCTGAGCGTGGCATTGATATAGGTGATGCTGAACTGAATAACGCAGCAATAACACGGAGCGGTACACCGGATTCAATACAGAGTTCACACTCTAATACCTTGCCACACAAGAAAACCAAATTGGCCGCTAAAAAAGGTCAAAAACAGCCAAAACAAGTACCAGTACTGCCATCACAAACAATACCAACGACAACAACAGCAACAGCAACTGAAGTAGCAACATTTGTTGGTGGTGCATATCAGCCAGCAACTGCATTTATAGCACCAACATCAATAGCTGTGCAGCAAGTCAGCAATGCTGATGTAATGACGACAATCGCTTTATCACCCGGAAATCAAAATTCCGCGGTTCCCACACTAACAGCACCAACGGCAGCTGCTCTCAATAATAACTATTCAGGAAATGTTGCTGCAACAACTACTGCACAGGCAGCAGCAGCAGCAGTAGCTCCTATACCAAATGACCGCAGCAATGATTTGTACCAGTTAAACTCAGTAATTGCCGCTGCTAATTACGAATATCAATTAATCAATAACGAGCAACAGCACCTTCAGTTAATAGAGGTAATAAAAAGCATAATATAACTAATTGTTTACTTTAAAATATATTGGCTAATAACATTTTTTGTTTCTGTTAATTCTCATCAAGGCTAACAGCAAAATGCAAGAATTGCAGACACAATTAGAGCAATTGGGACGTGAGAAACTTAGTTTGGAAGCACGTGTTTCGGAACTAATGCCGTACCAAAGCGAAGTGGGAAAATTGAAATCGGAATTGCTCAAAATGCAGGTAACATATATTAATTGATTATATATATATATATATATTTTTTTTTTTTTTGAAACAACTATCCCACACATTTTTATATTATCTCATTCAAAATCAATTCATATTATTTTTATATAAGATGAATTCAAAATAATGGTTACATGATATAGGAGTATTACATGTCGAAAGTCAAAAAAAAAAATAAAAAAGATCCTTTATTTTATTTAAAGCTTCGAACTGGAACCGAAAAAATCGATATTTTTCGTCGGAGCGAAAATTGGAACCGAACGGATATTTTTTTTTTTGTTTTTTTTTTTTCTAAAACTTCTGGTTTGAAGCCTAGATTGCATTGGGAGTCGTGTGGGAGTGTTTGTTCTTTTTGGATTTTGCCAAAAAAAAAAATGGTTTGGAGTTTAGTTTCAGTTTTATTTTAAATCTTATTTCTGTATATAAAAAATAACCTGATTGGCTCGGAAATTACAGAAGCTAGTGAAGTTCCAGAAGTGAATTCTATACCGGTTAATGATGGTGCCGCAAAAAGACTTCCGCTCTAAATACGCTGCTAATTAGAGGTGCTCCAATAGAGGCTACCATTTGGACTATACTGTCTATTTTGTGTTGTTTCGATAAAAACTCACACGCTCAACTGGTTGATTAATAGGGGCCCAATAGAGACTTCCACATTGACTGAGGTTGCCAATTAGTGGTGCTTTAATAGAGCCTTCCACCTTGATTAAGGTTAACAACCTTAAGTACTTGCTTCAATAAAGACTTCCGATTTAAGTAAATTGGTTTAATTAGTGTTTTCCCAATAAAATATCTCCAATTGATTCTATATTGATTCTTCTTCTCTTCTTAGTATCCGTTTCCCCTAGTGGGGCATAGGGTCGCAACGATTCTCTTAAACCGCACTCTGTTAAGTGTTTCTCTGCATATATCGTTCCATATGTAGTGCGCTTCTGTCATTTCTCTTTCTACTGTTCCTCTCCAAGTTAAAGCTGAAGCACCACGGCGTTTGCTACCTTGTGGATTCCATGTCAAAACTTGTCGTGCAATGTATTTATT